CACACTCACTCACTCACACACACACACACACACACACACACACTCACTCACTCACTCACTCACTCACACTCACTCACTCACTCACTCACACCCACTCACTCTCACACTCACTCACTCACTCACTCACTCACTCACACTCACACTCACACACACACACACTCTCTCACTCACACACACACTCTCTCACACACACACACACACACACTCACACACACAGTAATTCGTACTTCTTTGTTTGTCTTTTTGTCTGATTTTCAAATACTTTTTTGTTTCAATTCAGAGATTTGGGATTTACATCGTAGCTTATTAATTTGATTGTGGCTTTTAACTCTTTACCGAAGACTTATAAAAAAATTTAAAAAATCCCTATGACGTGACATGTGGCCAAGTATGGTGACCCATACTCGGAATTAGTGCTCTGGATTTACCCATCCAAAGTGCACACACACAAATCGTGAACACACACCCGGAGCAGTGGGCAGCCATTTATGCTGCGGCGCCCGGGGAGCAGTTGAGGGTTCGGTGCCTTGCTCAAGGGCACCTCAGTCGTGGTATTGAAGAGAGAGAGCGCTGTACATTCAGTCCCCCCACCTACAATCCCTGCCGGTACGAGACTCGAACCCACAACCTTTGGGTTATGAGTCTGACTCTAACCATTAGGCCACGACTTCCCCCTAGGGTAAAATGGGTAAAATGAATGGAAAAAGTCCAGGAACTGCTGAAAAAGTGGGCGGGGCATATTGTGCACTCTATTGCGCAAAGGTAATCTTATATTTTAACCCCTCCCCGCCCACTTTTCAACTCACAAAAACATCAGAATTTAACATGGTTTATTTGCAGCTAGTCATGCTAATGCTTATTTAGCATTAGCAGTCATAGCCGTGAAATTGTTGCAGAACGAGGAAGCTGATATGAATCTAGTTTGCGTTACTGATCCCTAATTGTTTTCCTGTTAGCCAAGCGCACACAGAAGCTCATCATCATGATTACAGTCTGCGACCAAAAACCCCTTGCTTGTAGCCAACTCGTGTTTGCCAGGCTATTGAGAAGACATGTTTTTTGTAACAAAACATTGAACTGCTGGCCAAATGGCTCTATAACCCGTGCAAAAAATGTCCGTAAATCCATGTTTTACACACCAGAAACTGTCTTAAATGTACACTAGCTGATAAGCTTCTGTTCCCAGGGTACGCTAGGCTTAGCGACACTGCTTGCCAAAAATGATCTCAACCAAAGATGCAAATACTTAGAACAATTGGCCGAAGCAATCCAAACACAAGAGGATTGGATAATGATTTTTATGCAGCAATGCTTGGGTTTACATGCGATGTAAATAAGAGATCAAAACAGATCGCTCACTCTGACAGCGTCTGATGCTAACCTTGTGTCTGCTCGCACAAGAATAACCAAATTTGTGCTAGTTATGATACTGAAATAAACCAGAATTGCCTTCGAGGTGAAAGTTGCCATTTTATCCAAGTGTGTGGTCCTCATAGACTTATCAGAAAGGAAAAGGAGGGTGTTTGTCCGGGAAGTGAGCCAAAACTGCCCAGTTGTCCCAAAGCAAGCCCAGTCTGCGAGTTTATGCCGTACATTTTCATCGTAGCCATTGAGTATATATACAGATTTTTAAATACATCTTTGTTTTAAATCAGAGTTAATTTTGTGATTTACCTCCTAGTTGGTTGGTTTGGTTTGTTGCTTTTAACTCTTTAAAAATCCGTTTGGGAAAAACACTCCAGGAATCACTGAAAGTGGGTGGGGCCGATTGTGCAAAGGCTCCACCTCCAAAATGACATCACATACTTATTTTCCAACCCCCCAGTGATCATCCGATCACTGGCCAACTGGTAAAATCAAGCCCCGCCCACTTTCCCACTCAAACCTACAGGTTTCTACTGAACGTTTTCATTGAAGCCATTGAGTACACATTCTTGCCTTTTTGCCCAATTTTCAAATACTTTTTTGCTTTAAATTAGACTTTATGTTGTGATTCACCTTGTATCTGATTAGTTTGGTTCATAGTTGGGTTTAATCCTTTAACGAAGACTTGAATGGTAAAAACTCCAGGAACTGCTGAAAAAGTGGGTGGGTACTATTGTGCAAAGGCTCCGCCCCCAAAACGACATCAAACATGCTTACTTTTCAACCCCTCCCCCTCCAACCATCACTTTTCATCATCCAATCACCGGCCAACTGGAAAAATCAAGCCCCGCCCACTTTACCACTCAAGCCTTCAAATTTGTACTGCACGTTTTCATTAACGCCATTAAGTACACATTCTTGCCTTATTGTCCTATTTTCAAATACTTTTTTGTTTTAAATCAGAGTTTGCAGTGTTGGGTTTCATCTCGTAGTTGGTTAGTTTGGTTCATGGATTGGTTAAACTCTTTAACAAATGGCAAATGAATGCGAAAAACTCCAGGAACTGATACATTTGTACAGGATTGAACAAAGGCTCCGCCTCCAAAATGACATCATATAGTTATTTTCCAATCCCTCCCCCTCCAGCCACTTTATCATCCAATCACCGGCCAACTGGAAAAATCAAGCCCCGCCCACTTTCCCACTCAAGTTTCTACAGTACGTTTTCCTCAACAGCTTTGCTCTCCAAGTTCATGCGAGTTCGACCCGTCGTGAGAGCTCAAATATACGCTTCTCAAACGTGTACGACTAGAGTTACGACTAGAGCACCTCTCCGAAAGCGAAGCGCCAACAAAAGGGTTCAAAAGGTGGGTCATGCCCTACGTTGGGCGTCATATTAGACATTGAATCATTAATGAAGTAGGAGATAAATGCTAGTCTTCGCTGCTAAATGGAACTAGACACCGCAGTGGCGTTCTGCACAGGTAGAGGCGTATCCTCTTGTCTGGCTTTGTCTGGATTCGGCCGGTCGTGATCCAAACGGTCAATCGTCCCTCCAAGAGAGGCGCGCGTGAGTTTGCGGAAGGACGTCGAGAGCGTAGGATAGAGGCTGATGATGGAGCCGCGGGACCAGTCCATCTTGGGAGCGACGCGCTTCAGTATGGCACGTCGGAATAGGATGTAGACCCAGGGATCCAGGATCTGGTTCCCCGTCGCAAAACGAAGCCAGAGAAGCAGGTGGCGAACGTTGAGCTCGCTGCCCGACAGCACGGTCTGCGCAATAAACACCTGTTGAGAGGAAAAATAACGAGAGGGTGATGAGAGGAACGCAAGAAGAAACACTGAGATGCTTGAACTCCACTTGAGTCAGCTAATAAAATAAACACAAACATTGCCATCGCTATGGGCTTCGTCATTTCCAACTGTTTACGAAATCTAATGGATTTTTGAAATGAGAATAACCAGAATGTAACATCTGGGGATGTTGGACACAATTTCCAGGAACATAATGTCGATACTAAATATATTCACCCCAAAAATATTCTGTGAGAGATGTGAAAAACAAATATATTTGCTGTTTCTGGCGTCTCGCAAAATATTTTTGGAGTGAATCCCAAGAAATCTGTCAGGAACATGTTCAAGTCATATTTCACCCCAAAATTAAAAGAAAGAAACTTTTGTGAATTATTGTTTGTGAAAAGAAATCGAATCAACTATTCTTATTTCCGCTATGCAATTTTAGTAATTGTTGTACTGTTCAGTTTATTTATTTAAATACTTTATTATTTAATTACTAATACTGTTTCAATTCATAATAAAAATAAATAAATAAATGAAAAAAGTGGAGGAAATGAGCTTAACCGTCATGAAAAAAATGCTTAATGGTTAATAAAACAATAAAATATAATTTATATTTGTTCTTTTTTTTTTCTTTTAATTTTAGGGTTAAGATTTACCATATTATTGTGAAAATTAAAAGCAAAACAAACAAAGATACTGGAAATAAATAGAGTCATTAGTATTACTTACCAGTCATTAATCTATCTATCTATCTATCTATATATATATATATATATACAGTATATTAGTCATTGATAATATGTATATTATGCTTATGTTATTATATATTATACATGTATTTTTTGTCATATATATTAACATTTTTTGAATAAAATACTAACATATTACAAAAATATTATATTATTAAAAATATCACATTACAATATAATATATAAAAATAAATACATTTAATAATATTTTGTGTTCATTCATTTAAATTTAATTTAACATTAGAAAAATTATTATATTACAAATATTTATATAATTGTATGTATTACAATATAAACATTACAAATAATACAAATAAATGTTAGAAATAAATTAAAAATGTTTTTATGAATTTAAATAAAAATGTAACTATTATAAATATTTTTATATTTATTTAAATTATATTTATTTACATATTTTTATTTAACAGAATATACATATTCTATTAATAATAATTATAATAAATAATATAATTAATTATGTTTTAATAATAATTAATAATATTATATATACATTTTTATATTGTATATAATATACATATATATATATATATATATATATATGCATGCATGCATTTAATAATATTGTTTTAATTAGTAATAAATATCTAAAAAAAAGAAAAAAGATATATATATATATATATATATATATATATATATATATATATATATACACACACACACACACACACACACACACACAGTAGTGTGCGTGTATATATACTTGTATGGTATTTTGGCAGAAACTATGATTAGTGTGTTGATGATGGTTGTCGGCGGAAAGCAGCACAGAGCCAGAAGTGGTTTGAAGCATCAGATGTCGCTACGGATGAGCGCATGAGTGTGAATGGTGCTCACTGTTAATTCAGATCACAATCTGGATTAGCCATCAGCCTTTACTCGCCTCAGTCTAGACTCCTGACAGAGGATGTAAATCCAGGGGTCACATATCTGATTGCAGGTGGCCAATCGCAGGTAGAACAGAAGGCTATAGGGCTCGACGGCTAGCGAGGACACGACGGTCTTCAGTATGAACATCTGTCCAGAGACACAACATCATCAGACGAGGACAGAGCAGCTCCAGAGGGTTTATTCCTCACATTGTGAGTCCCAGCTGTTTGTTTAACTATGGGAGCTGTGGACTTACAGATGCTACAGTGTCGGAAATGACATTTAAAGCTAAAACTAGTTTAATTGCTGGCATGTTATGCATCCTAAATATATACAATCATATTTTTTGCATGCTATGACAAAATGTCTGGATATATATATATTTTTTTCTATAATATTTGATCTCTAAGTAGACTTTTAAAAACTGAGGAACGTCAGAATTTGTGTAAAAAGGGATGTGAATTATGTTCACACGATAAATATGGAAATAGTTTACTTTTATGTTTTGTTCAGGTTGTATTTGTAATTCATATGTGTAAAAAAATATATGGATGTAAAAGTATTAACGTATCTAATATTTCTGTGATAGCTTAGGACTGAAGGTCTGGGTTTCGGAAGTGAAAAACAATCAAATCTACACATAAAAGGCAGATTATGATGATAATAAAAATAAATAAAAATAAAAAAAATAAAAACGTAAAATATTACAAAAAATACATTCAGTTTTAATTGAATTTAGTTAATATTTCTGTAATGGATTGAAGTTTAAAATTGAAAAGGCTCATATACCGCTGCAATGTTTAATGTTTTGTAACATATGTTTATTTTATTAAATAAAATAGAAACATATGAGTTGAATTAAATATAAATATATTACAAAAAAAACTCAATTTTTAACAAATATTTTAAAAAACGAATACTATATTTTTAAGTGTAATATAATTTCCTATCATATATATATATATATATATATATATATATATATATTACCAAAAATAAATAATATTTTATTTTAGTGAGTTAATTTTAATTTTACTTTAATTTAATTTAATTTAGTTAACATTTCTGTGATGGATTTTCATATTTTATTATTGAAAGCCTGGGTTTTGGAAAAGAGAAAAACAATAAGAGCTATACATAAACAACCATTATATATATATATATATATAAATAAATGCATTATTAATAAAAAAAAACAAATATATATATATATATATATATAAAAAAGACAGCTTCAATGCAACCTTCATATATATATATATAAAAAGGTTTAATCCCTGCCGTATAAAAGTGCTCATATTTTAAAGAAACACCCAGCTGTAGTTAATTTAGCAGACGATTGGCTAACAACGAATTTGTGTTTTGTTAAAAATAGGATGTGTGTGTTTGCTGATGAGGACTTCCTGTTCTTCCCTTCAACAGGAAATGGCTCTTTCCCATTAGTCTTATCAGCGGTTCTCACACGACTCCTTCATGTTCCTCGGCTGGCAGCTTCCTGTGCGAGAAGCCTGGCGTGTTACATGACGAGTAAAGCGTCTGGCCTCGCGATCAGTAGCGCACCTGCGTCGCGCGGCACTGTTACCATAAACAAGACTGACAACAAGCAGCGTCACGGACAATTATAACCGATTCGGAAGATTACAGAAAGCAATTTTAAACAGAGCGTTTGAATCAGATGCGAACCAAAGTCTGAAATGTTGACGTACAGGTAACGTTGTCTTTTTAGTCGACTTGAGGCTGTTCCAAATTGTAAGGACTTGTCCCAGAATGCATTGCACTGAACTAAATGAAAAACAAATACAAAATGGTGAATGGGATACTGAAATGTATCAATGGAAAATAGCTAAATCTAATTAAAAAAAGGCAATATTTTGATCAATAAATGTGTGCATCGCGCCGTTAGCTTAGCCACACATTAACACAGACTCTGCTGGAATCAAAGCTATTTGTGTAGCATTTTCTCTGATTTTGATACAAGTTCAGCTCACTCGACAGCATTTGGTGCATAATGTTGATTACTTTAAAGCTTTCAACTTTAAACTCATCCCTCGTGAATAAAAATGGAGGTTACAATGAGGCACTTATGATTTTTAGAGGATTTAAGAGAAGCATATTTTATAAAAACACTTATTATTTCTTCTGTTCAAGCCTGTGTGTTATTTGAGCTTTAAAGCTGCTTGAAAACTTTATTTTACAGTCCTTTTAGGGTTTACGTTGTCATGACAACAAAGTTACAGATGGGCTCCAATCGCTTCTATTGTATGTTATTTTTGTAATGTTTTAATAATAATAATTATTATTATTAATTTTATAATTACTATTATAAATAGGTTAGTTTAATCTATCTATTTAACAGAAAGAATATTTTATAATAATTATTATTGTTATTGGTTTTTGTTAATTATATTACTTAATACAAGAAAGGTTTGGCAGTATCATAATAATAATAATATACATAAATTCTTAGAATTAATACTACTAATAATAATTATAATAATGCATTATGATTTATTATTATTATTTTTATTATTAATATGTCTGTAACATTGTCATTATAATTAGTAATTGTATAAGTATTGTTATTAATAGGTTAGTTTAATTATATTACTTAATGGAAGAATATTTTTATAATATTAATAATAATAATAATTATTATTATTGTTGTTATTAGGTTATGTTATCATATTACTTAATGCAAGAATGTTTTGGCAGACAATAAAAATAAATAAAATATTATTATAATAATAATAATCATTCTAATTATTAATAATTTTGTAATATTACTAGTATTAGTAGTAGTAGCATAAGTAGTAATTTCATAATTGTTATTAATAGGTTAGTTTATTTATAATATTTAATGGAAGAATATTTTAAAAATTAATATTATTATATTATAATATAATAATATTTATAATAATTTTCCCCTTTAGTTCACAAGTTGTACATTATCTCTGTCTCTTATTTTATATAGAAAAGGAGCGAAAGTGGACGTTAATTTTGTGGTAATCAACATTATGCTGTACTCACACTGAACCCGTAATACCAGATTCCTTCTTGGTTACTTTGTAGGCATCTTACTAGGTTTTGTAAACAGTTACTAGCAGCTCATTTTAGGTACGTCCCAAATTGCGTACTTATGCACTATTCTATGACGTTTTGTAGTATAAATAGTGCGAGTAGTGCGTTCACACTGAAAATTCCAAAAAGAAAAAGTGCACTTTAAACACCCGGAGGATGCACTTAAATAACAAAAGTGTGGAATGTTGGACACTTCACGCACTCAACTGTCTCAGCTTTAATTACGTAACGAAGGGGGAGGGGCTATCAGACTCCGATTATAAATAACAAAATAACCTTATATAATTCATACACTACATAATTGAGTACATAGTGTATGAGTGCATAGTGTATAGTGCGTCATTTGCGACGCAGCTTTTGACTCATTCAGACTTAGCATTTGTCAAGTGTCGATGTAGTTCAATCACTCACCAGTAGAGGACACCAGCAGACGGAGGCGATGGCCATGATCAGAATCAGCTGCACCATCATCTCCACTTCATAGTCTCGTCTCCGCTGAGCGCTGTCCTGTCCGCAACACACCCTCAGTAGGGTGACGACGCTCACCGTGTTAAGCAAGAATGACACGGCCAGCGACAGCAAACCCACGAGCGAGAAGATCAAACCGAAGGTCATATCCAGCGGTCTGGAGCTGATGTTGAGGAAGCACCAGGAACCGGGGATCTGGAGACGGTAGCTTCCCAATCCGGCCAACGGCAGGAGACTGATGCAGCCGGCTGTGACCCAAACCATGGCCACCGTCGAACACGCTCTGCTGTTGGACACGGCGGTGGAGCGGGCGAAGGGTCGGTTGATCCCCACGAATCGCTCCACGGCCATTGCGGCGCCGAGAAGTAGCGGGCAAAGGCCATAGAAGACCATCGACATGCCCATGAAGTTGCAGAAGTGGCAATGAGGGTCCAGTTGGCGCCAGTTGAAGTGCGTGATGTGGAAGGACACCACGATGGACCCGGTGACCAACAGCCCCATGAAGTCGGTGAACACCAATCCGCCGAGGAACAGCAGGAACGAGGAGCGCGAGCGGCTCTTGGTGTGGTGGAAGGTCTTGGCCAGAACCACCAAAGCGAAGAGGTTGGAACTCAAGCCGAGGCCGCTGAAGACTGCAGAGAAGTACGCCGAGGCGATGGTGTGGTTGTGATTGAAGGGCGGGCTGTTGATGGAGAAGCAAAGCGGAGTCGCGTTGCTTGGCGCCGATGAAACCATGATGGCGGGGATTGAAGACGGGTTTATTTCATCCTGTGAACCTGTGATGGAGAAAAACCATTGGTATACGCTTAATAAATGTTGCCACGCACTCAGGGGCGGACTTAGTGATTTGGGGGCCCTAAGCAAATTCTAGGTATGGGGCCCCAACACAATAACTATGTGCTCTTTTACGCCTAACCCTTATTTTGCTCGCTCGCTCTCATAGTTTATTTATCCCTTCACAACCAGTAGTAAGTCAACCTGATGCTGTTCTAAAGCTAGATTAGGCTACCTTTAAAAAAAAAATGCTTGCACTTGTCCAGTTAATAAATTGTAAACTTTTACAATCTTTTTACAAACATGAAATCATCCCATGCAACTCATTCCATAGTCCAAGTGTTCTGAAAGCATACGGTAGGGTTTGCCGAGAAACAACTCAAAAATGTAATCTATTATTAAGCAAAAATCTCCAGTCATTGCATTCGTGCATTTATACCTGCATTTTATACGAGTGCATTTAAACGTGCATTTTATGCGAGTGCATTTAAACGTGCATTTTATGCGAGTGCATTTATACCTGCATTTTATGCCAGTGCATTTAAACTTGCATTTATGCGTGCATTTTATACGAGTGCATTTAAACCTGCATTTTTTACGAGTGTGCAGAAATTCGAGCCGGCGCGCCAAGGAAAAACACACAAGAGAGTCATTTTGAAACATCAAGACAAATAAAATTATGACTTGAAACACAATACTTTCTTTACTGAGGTGAATATCTCTGTTCTGAGACAGTCAGACAGTAATATACAGCCTAGAATGCACGCAAAGTGCGCTACCTCATATAATCACTAAACGCGGTCACTCACTTCCATTCATTGCGATCTCACGACGTTCCGTTACTAAGCTCTCTACACCGCACAATCTGCATTTTATACGAGTGCATTTAAACGTGCATTTTATGCGAGTGCATTTATACCTGCATTTTATGCAAGTGCATTTAAACGTGCATTTTATACGAGTGCATTTATACCTGCATTTTATACGAGTGCATTTAAACGTGCATTTTATGCCAGTGTGCAGAAATTCGAGCCGGCGCGCCAAGGAAAAACACACAAGAGAGTCATTTTGAAACATCAAGACAAATAAAATTATGACTTGAAACACAATACTTTCTTTACTGAGGTGAATATCTCTGTTCTGAGACAGTCAGACAGTAATATACAGCCTAGAATGCACGCAAAGTGCGCTACCTCATATAATCACTAAACGCGGTCACTCACTTCCATTCATTGCGATCTCACGACGTTCCGTTACTAAGCTCTCTACACCGCACAATGAATCTCTTATTTACATCGTCTCTACACTTTGTTATAATGAGAGGATTCCCGAGCTTGCAGAACTCAGCAAACTCGGCATTTTGAGCAGTGAGTGGATTCTAACTTAAACACTTCTGGTTATTGCGTTTAACAGATATGTCTGTGATTGGCTACATTGTTCAACGCTGCAAATATGTTTCTGCAATATCAGACGGGGCCCCCTGATTCCCTGGGGCCCTAAGCGGCCGCTTACCTCGCTTATTGGTTAAGTTCGTCCCTGTACGCACTGTATGGTCCAGGATTGTGTACTAGCGCGTGACTCGTTGGGTTCTGAGACATTGTTTCGCTAGCAAACAGAATAAATGAGTCACATCCCTGCATGTGTTTTCCCAACATCTCGTGCAATAGTACAGGACGCTTCATTCTAAGCAGACGTTCGACAGCACACAGAAACTAACGAAATGTGCTCATGCAGTGTCCACCGGCGTTTTAGAGCAAACCTTCGTTGATGTCAACAGGACATGTATTAGGAGCATTCAGATCTGTCAGATCGTTACAGCAATAACAAGCCCCAAACATAACATTAGCTGAAATTAAAGCTTTAATAAAATTATTTGTATAAATTATTAATAATAATAATAATATTTTACTAAGTGATATAATTAATGCAAGTAATTATTAAATGACTACTAATAATAATATTACATATTATTAATAATAATAATATCTAATATTTTAATTTTATTATTTTTTATAATGTCAAAACATTCTGGCATTAAGTAATATAATTAAACTTGTTCATAATAATAATTACAGTAAGTTTAATTTAACGTTTTATTGTTATTATTATTATTAATAATAATATGATTATAATAATAATAAATTATTAAAATAATAATAATAATAATAGCTCATTTTTTTCATTTGAACATTTTAATTTTTTTGATACTGGCAAAACATTCTTCCATTAAGTAATATAATTAATTAATTATTAATTAATATTTTTAATAATAATAATAATAATTAATACTAATAAATATTTGTATTACTATTATAAAACATTCTTCCATTAGGTAATATAATTAGCCTAACCTTTTATTATTGTTATTAAATAATATTCATTATCCATGCATATTTTGGATTCAAACTTTTGATTGGATAAGACACATTCAAAGCTGACCGCACATTATAGCCTATGAGCCAAGCTGCTATGAAAGACTACTTCATTCTGATTATTAATATTAATAAATGCAACTATTTACTGAACACTAGTCTCTTATTAGTGTCATATTATCAATCGAGGCCAGAAGTTACAGTGACTTTAACACCTCCTCATTAATATCCTTTAAAATCACTTTAATGTGCGTCCTCGATTGCTTTATTTTGCATCATGCTAAAGCTAACACTGAAAATAATGCATACTAATGCAAAGATCTGAATTTCTACAACATATTCAACCCTCAAGCTTTTGCAGAGGTTCAGTGGATCTGCATAAAAACATCCAGATCTCAGAGAACTTTTTTGAGCCGCATCTTATTGAAAACACATAAATCCCACAGGAATGTGAAGTGGATCCACTCCACTCTGGCCATTAAACATGAGTGTCTTCATCCACAAACCTGTTCAGATCGATACCTTAAGTGCCATGATTTATCATCAGGAAAAAGCCTAGACATCTCAATGCATTCGGTGGCATTTCCACTCGTAATGGCTGTTAATGAGGATGCAGTGTACAGAAACCTGAGGCTGCTGATGGTGTTTGTGTGTCTCTCTTAGCAGCGTAATTCCAAAACAAACTCCATTAGCCAAACACAGAGCTTTCCACAGCACGCTCCTAATCCAATCCCATCAGATGAGGCTCAGAAATCAGCTTTGTGAATGTCAGCGCCAGGGAGTGGGCTGGGAAATCTGCGACTGGTTTGCATGCATGTGCATTCACATCTTTAAAGTATTTTTAGCATTTGGCTGCATGCAGGAGCGTTAAACATCAGCAAAAAATGTGATTACGGTTATATGCGGTTTTGTAGTATAATCAGAGCATTATATGATTCTGTATCAAAGAGACTCTAGAAATGAAAGGTTTTTGCAGTAACTCTTCAGTTTTCGGATATATGTGATAGTTTGGAAGTTGATGAGTAATTTGGTTTCTGGGTTATTTAATGCACCAGAACATGAGAGTTTTACAAAGAACTAAATTAAACTAGACAGGATTAGATTATTATGAAATTCATCAAATGTTAGATAACAGATTTATTTTTTTTGGCATATTTAATATATTTTTTTACTTTTTCTGTATTTAATGTATTTTTTGACTATTAGTATTTTTTCCTCACCCAGTCACAAATGTGCTCAAACTCAACATTACAATAATCTTTAAAATATCTGAACTTATACAGTTATAGCACATACAAGATCCTCCACAAATAACTCAAAAATTACACAAAATGTATTCATTAATTACAAAATTTTAATACGCTTATTAATATTTTTGTCAATTTTAATTAACAAAAACATTGTTTATTCACCATTCGTGGAATGTTTTATTTTTTATTTTTTTATTTCAGTTGGACGTTCATGTAACATTTTTTAAATGTTACTTGTTTTAAAACGTTCAGAGAACATTCTAAAATAACATTAACATAACATTGTTTTAGAAATATCATTTTCCTGACCTGATACAACGTTAGCAAAACGTTCTTAAAACATATTACTGTTAGCGGTAGAGTTTAACAATGTTCCTAAAATGTTTTTAGTCTGGGTAAGGACTGAAAACGTCAGGTCATATTTTAACATAGTCATTTTTTCAACCCTATCTCATGGAAGTGCGTATAAATAGTAAGCCAAATAAAAACCAAAACTCGTGGTATTGATACGCAAAAA